CCAAAGATTAAGCAACTCATTGGTTACACCTTCGTACGGTCAATGCTAAGGGAATGGTTTAAAGAGTTATAGAAAATGAAAGGAGTAGAAATTGAGCAGAAGAAGAAGAGAAGCTCAGTAATAACAGAAATACTAATAAATCTTTGGAAACTACAAAGTCCAATGGTTTTTAGGACATCCTTTGTCCACGATCACAAAGAAAATTAGCTCCATCAATCATCACCAATCAATGACAAAATATTTTCATTAAAAACAGAGTAAAGTAAAGTCCTAAAAATTCCATTAAAGTAACATATTCTGTACTCATAAACTCGTAACTACATATTTCAACTGGTAAGGCAACATACTAGCTGATATTGATATATCCCCAACATTTACATGAGTTAACAGGCATTTATTACCAAATATGGCCGCTCAGTAACGAGACTGTAACTAAATCTGACTGCGTAATTAATTCAAAGTTAGCTAGGACTCTGCTACACCCACAACGACTGTACCATTCAACTGTCTAAATTGGCATTATGTTACGAAATTGTTTTGCATTTGTTTAAAAAATATTGTTTGATCTTTGATCTTTTCTATTTTTGGTACAGGAGTTCTCACGACATAACAGCCATGTGTTCTAGTGATGAGTTGTGACTCTTACTACTCTTATCGTATGTATGGTTGTCTCTTCCCTTCTTCTTTCATCCTCTCCTTTGTGACAACACAACAACAACAACAACTCCTTTTTCTTTTATAATTATCATATTTATCATTCATCACGCATTATCGATTTTCTGTAGTCACCTTCCTTTCGATACATACATTTTACATTCAGTACTAGCTTTGTTGAGGGTACGGGTTCGAAACCTACCATCGGCAAGTACCAATGTGACTTTTTCCAGTTATATGTACTTTCTAAGATTATCTAGACACCACTGACAAACGGTGAAGGAAAACATCGTGAGGAAACCTGAGCTTATAATTTCTAATTATAAGTTTGAAATCACCAACCCGCATTGAGCAAGCGTGGTGATTAATGCTCAAACCTTCTCCGTGTGAGAAGAGGCTTTGCTCAGCAGTGGGCATTTATAGGCTGTTGATGATAATGATGACTAGCTTTGTTTGTCTTGTTCTGCCTATTTTGTGAAAAACTATTCAATTATAGAATTGACATAAATAATTTAACTTTCCTCCTATTATCAGAGTATTATATTCTCACGTTTTTAAGTTCCACTAGTTATCGGACAACTAATGAACAAATTTTTCCTGTTTTAGTTTTAAAAACCGTTGGAATAAAAAACCTTTGCAAGCAACAAAGAACTAAACACCGATACTAAACAGATGTGCGGTTAAAAGTCAACTCGATGCACCTGCTTATCGAAAGGACCCTCAAACTTACGCTAAACGATTCTGTACCCTAAAGAAATAACTTTAATGTCTAAATTAACACAACTATCGTCTTCTTGATCCGTTAAATCTATGATCGTGAGATGGATTTTTAAAGTAAACCTAACTGTAAGATTTTAAGATGTCTGTAGTTGTTCTCAGAACATAGATAAACATCAGATCTTATCTTTTATGGATAAAAATCTAAAGTGTATACATTAGCTGGTACTAAATAAAGAAATTAATATTCAAATCAGGCATAAATTGGAGATAAATAAGTAATAAATTATAACAAAAGTCGTAAATAAGAAAAATATAAAACTTTAATGTGAAATAAAACTATTTAAACACATCTACAGAAGAACAAGGATATAATTTATTTGTGAGTAAAAAAGATGGCAAAATGGCGTGCAAACTTATAGACCTGTCACTTCCTTTCGCGCCAAAAACCGCAGCCATATTGTTTTTACTGCGCTGCGTTCGGAAACTGCTTCAGCTATTGTTTAAAGATTTATGTCTCTTGCACAACAACTTTTAATAGCAAGACGTAACGCCTTCCGTTCCTTATCTGTTATGAATAATTAGCGTGAATATTAATTAGAATATGATTTATTTACTAATAGCCATAATCTGCCATGTTAGTAGTGTTACATAAATCGATAAAGGTTTGATGTATGGATTAATTTTTTGCCGGATCCATTTACGTAATGACTGTGATCTACTTTAAAGCTTGTATACATATTAAACTGTCAAACACCAAGCGGTCACCGGTGACCGCAACCTATTGTTCTATAATTGTGTCTGCAAAACCGGTACTCGACGAGTTAATATGGACAGGAAAGAATCTACTCGAAACAGAAACTTGTGTACTGTTTATTAGTGAAGAATTTTTATGTAACATTTTATCTTTATGAAAAGAATGTTTAAAAATCATTACCTAGAAATAACAATTAAATCTTTACTTAATAAGAGTAATATTATAATATATTTATTACGTAATGTTGATATCGCTAAGATCGCTAAGGCCTTAAGTATAAGTACTATATAAGACCTTAAAATCGAGGGCATTTAGCACAAAATCGTCAATGTAACCCAATACAAACGGTACCGTTCCGACGACCGTACAGACCGGTTCACAGCTGATACCAAAATGGCGGACATTGCCACTACCAACACGTTTTTGTACGTCTCATCTTAATTTTAATGTCTTTCGCAAAAAATAGAGCATTGTCCAAGTCCATCTTGTATGATCGAGTATAATTTGGTAATAACTGTAATGAAAATTTGTGGAAGAAGGTTTCTCTTATTTTTTGTTCCAGCACTTTGCTAAGACAAGATCAGTAGGTTCGTGTAATATTATAACATCGGTCAGTTGCTATGATATTTAAATGAAATCATGAATATTATTAGATGAGCAAAATGATTGGCAATTAGGTTAGAACCTATTTGAACGCTGTCAATAACATCAATCTTAGAATATTGATTATCTACAATTGTGTAGTATCTATATAATAAATATATTTATGTATCTATTCAGATGAGAAAAATGTTATCTCATAAATCGTAATTAGTCACCAAATCAAATATTCAGTGTTATGCAAAACTAATAACTATGAATTACGAACAGTACCTAATTTCTAATCTCTTACCAATGCACATTTACTTTTACTGCCAATAAATGACAAATTATACTTTCGTGAATATTTGTTTAACTAGACATTTCCTATGGCTCAGAAGAATATTATAATATTATTACTCAGAGAAGTACTTACCTAATCCCGAAACGAATTCCAAGATCACAATCTCTAAACGTCTAGACATTAACTTAAAATAGGAGAGAACTGTACGTTCATAACCATAAATCTTAAGTTTTGTTCTCATTGGAAATTACCTTCCATCACAATTTCCACTTTAGTTTTAACCTAGAAAGAGTAAAGTAGCAATTTAATAATACCTGTTCTACTCGCCTGTGCTTGTGCACACGCAGCGATCGATAGATCACTGCGGTTTATCATCGGGGGCTCAAACCACAAACCACAGTACCGACACATTCGCTGATTGTACTTAAAAGCCATCTAAGACATCCTGTTGTTTAATAACAGTAATAATATATCTTACAATTGCTTTAATTATAGTCATAACTCTAAACATATAAGAATGATTGCATTTTAAAGTTCTATAACGGTGGAACTCAATACTCCAGTAAATACGTATACTACATGAGGTGTAAATTATTTATTTCCACTATATTTCATTCGTTTTGCACTATTTTCTTTCTTTAGGAAGTGGTTTTACCAGCAATATCTTACTTAACTATACATTAGGTATTACAAAACCTTAATGATAACAATTGAGGTAACGACACTACACACTTACATCCAATCAGATACATTCAATTGCTAGTGCGAGCGCCATCTAGGTTCGCAGGAAGTAAGTTATTACCAAGGCGTGCTTCGGTACAAGTGAAGTATCTGATATATCGAGGAGATTATGGCCCGTTGATACACGCAGAGTGTAGGTGGCTAGTAGGATATTGTAGTTTGAACCTACTTAATATAAAATGCTTCCTTATTGGTCAATTGACCATAAATGCTTGATATTTAAAAAAAACATTAACAACCTATGGCTGTACATATAGATAGTCCAGCTATCTATGAGAATATTGGCGCCCTCTACATGAAAAGGCATAACCTGGCAAGTGGGTTGAAAATCGCAATTTGAAAGCAGCTGTTGTGATGCTGGCTTGGTCTCTATATACTATATAATGTGCTTGGCGACTGGGCTTCACCCAGTTGTACAGTCTCTTTTTTGTGCCTTCAGGCTTAATTCATTCTGTCTGATGCAGTAATTCACCGAGGGAAACTATTGTTTTTTCTTCTCCTCTTATAATATCTTCTGATTCAATACGTTGCGGGAACCAAGACATTCATGTCCCTGGGACGCGCCGGACTTCAGTGTTCCGGTGTTTTCATGGTTGTATCTACTATAGATAGGAGTTGCAGCGGTTTTGGGTGGTTGTGGCGGGCTTGTCCCATATAAAAATACTATATAATCCCTATATCTTACGACCACCGCAGGAAAAGCAAGTATGGTGACAAATTATTCTACTCGTCTGTAACCACAAAGCTAGTTACGTATTCATGAGAATGACTTAGGCACATAATTCTAGTGCATTGCACGCCCAGTGCAATGATATTACTATCATCATCCTGCATTAACTTAATGAGTGCTATCGTTTCTGCATGGCTTCCTTTGTCGGCTGTCCTCGACTGTATTTTCCCACTATTATATCCCTTGCTATGAAATGCAGCCTTGTTGTAAGTTTATTCACTAAAATTATTAGTGTTATATTAAGTTGCGTGGATAAAACGCTCTGTATTTTAGTTGCACTCTCCGTCAATACTGCGTTTTGAACCTGATGTGTCTCAACAACATTGTCAAATTATTATTATTTATAGTGGTTAGCAATAATCCTTCAAAATAAACCTTACCAACCGGTTAATACTTGGTTTGGTTAATTTGCACCGTTGACCCTAGAGCTTAAATATGTCATCGTCATCAAAAAAGTCATCAAGCCTAATTAATGTTTTCTGTTTCTGTCGTCTGTAACTTTCTACCTTTGTTTCCAGGTACAGTCGAAGGTGGGCCTCCGTACAGAATGCCGCCGGCGCCCGAGGCGGCGCTGCCCGGCGCCCCCGCTCCCTCTCTACCGGCCGCACTACATACACATTCCAACAAGTTCCCTGTAAGTACAGCATTATCATCACATATTATAATAATATTATGTAATTCTGGAACGTGGCGGTTATGTGACTACATTACCATTTATCAGTGGACAGATTAACTCCGAATAGAGATCCATAAGTATCACTTTAAAACTGCTTTCACCTTTTACCTTAAACGGTTTTGTCTTAAACCAATACGTAAAGCTATTTTGTTTCAAATTATAATCATCATTTTCTATAATAAACACCCATCCTAGGCTAAACATATATAATCCACCTATCACACTATTTTCCCGCTTACTATTTTTAATTTGAACAGAATTACTATCTGTTAAACTATTATAATCATCAGCCTCAATTTTTAAACAGTCTTCTACATTACGATCCATATCAAAAATCTCTTTCAAATATCTCCACAACATCTTGACCATTTGCATCTTCACAATCATGTACATCGACATCTACACCACATACAAACAGTTTATCCCTGTCCATCCTTCCGTCATTCAAGCAAGTGACGGGCAAGTCCGCTAGTTAAGTGGCTGAACTGGCTCCAGTCGACTTGCCTCGGGTTAGTGACATGCGAGTTATGTGTCGTATATTTAGATTGCTCCTGTGTACGATAAATTGTCTATCGTAATGGCGACAGTATTTTTTTCTTAGTAGGTTCTATGTGGATTATGTTCTTTAGTTATGAGGTACTGTTCATTGGATTATTGAAATATGTGTTTTAGATGCGAATTAATAGTTTCTTTAAGTTTTATCAATGACGTAGTTACGATTTCTATTGCATACTATACATATTAAGTTTCTATGTTGACAATGAAATCATTGTTATTGATTACACTTAAACAAATCAATGTAAATAATGTCCTACCAATTACTGTACAAGTTAGGAACACTACAGTTGTAGCGTGCGTGTCTCAAAAATGTATTCGTACTTTGTCGTCATCACACTGCTCAAGTAAGCGCAAATTATTCAGACACCTTACTCCACATTATAATAAGTTTTATCGCTCCAACTGAAACCACTTTTCTTTTTCATGGTGCATTAAAACTAAAGTACCTGTACCGCTTCATTTACATGCAATAAACAAATCGTGATTGGATCCCAGTAATATCCGCGATTTCTCCAATACATGAGAATTAGTATTTTTTGCTTTGTATGGAGTCTGAGTGAAAGTGCTTCATTGTTACATGGCTCATCTAGAAGCGAGACGTGTGTGATTTGATAGAAAATCTGTTGAATTTTGTTATAGTGTTGCATTTTGTATTTTGGATTTGGAGTTTTAATATTTTGACATTATAGGTGAGAATTCTTTATAATTTATTGTTTCCAATTTAGTCAAGATCACCTTTTGTACTTGATAGTATATTTTGTTTCATTTCGGCAACTTGACCGTTTAACCAGACTCTAAAATGTAACGTTAAGGTCCGGTAATAGGTTGTCGAAGCTCCGGCTCGAAAAGTAGAAGTAGAAACGAGGTGGTTCTTAGTCAGTAAGAGGTTGACACTCCCTCTCAACTAAACCAAGGCGGGAGAAGCCATTAGATGATTTTCACCCCTCAAAATAAGGTCTGATAATAACCATTTCATATAGACTTCTATAGACCCGTGAACATTTAGTGAATGAACGTCCACCTATGCCACCATTTCCCTATCTACCTTATCTACACCATAAACCAACCTAATTGTATGTACGCATGTTAATACTAAGTGCTAAGTACTAGTGCATTCTAGGCAAATTGCCAAGGCTTTGTTTATAGGAAATGGTCGTGAGGTTAAAGCCCATGTTTACTCAGGTACTTATTACCCATCGTCCAGCCAATTTACATAATGATATATGTATAGGAAGTTACTGGAATCATGGAGGCTATCGAATTTACGATCTCATGAATATACACGAATATTCGGAACTGCATTGTATTGGCAGTTTGGAAATGATCATACAGAATCGATTACTACGTACTATGATTATTTCTCTAGCTCCATTACTTTTCATTTTCATCCATCATTGGCATTTGATTCGAAGATTCAAATCAGGAAACTCAAAACAAGATCTTTTTCAAAATCTTTCCACATTTTGTTAACTATGTTAACTGTTGTTTCGATGCTATGTGCCTAATAAATCACAGAGTATCTTCTACTCCGATATTTACATTCTTCTTTTGCTCCCTTCGGGTCCAATTTCAGAGATAAGTTATATAAGCTCCTATGTTTACAGTCTCTCAATATACGATTATACATTCTGTTGTAAACCTGATTGAAAAAGAGTAACCTATGGAGTTTCTTGCTCGTTCTTCTCCATAAAAATCTACACCTTGGAATGAGCAACTAGCTTCACTTCTAAATTTTTGTTGTTAACGTTCAAAAGTGCCTTCCTGGTCTAATTAAAATAAATGATTTTGACTTTGACTTTGTGGCTACAATGTCATTAATCAAGCTTTTCTCCCAACAGATAGAGCGCGAAGTGATCCTATCCTCTGGAGACAAGAACTCTAAAGTGCCTATACTTCAGGAGGCGAGGAAGAGGGGCAGGCTCGGTGCCGTGGCTCCTGACACGCCACCAAAAGCACTCTCAGCTTGGACACACTCTGAGGTAAGTTCTACAGAACTTAGCCTTGTAATGAAGAAAATTATGAATGACATTACTAAATAATCTCTAGTTTTGCACTGAAGCAAAAGATGTTAAGAACTACAATTAATAATTTTTGTCGACACGGTAACTTTGGTAAAGGTGTATTAGAAAAATGGAATTTGTTCTCTATGAAAACCTTGCTATTACTTCAAAAATCGGAATTGTAAATATTTTATTATTTTTCGTCTAGAACCGCAGGCACCTATATTATATAAAAACTTCACGTCTATCACAAAGCAGAACCAAAAATGAACTGGTCAAAATACGAATACTTATTTAGGTACACTTCCTCGGAAAATTTATGATTTCATCGGAATCGCCACGTTTAATTTGTAAAGACAATAATCACGCACTAGCCGACTTTAAACTAGAACCAAGGTCCCTCCTCTTCAATCCTACACCATCAGATATTAAAGATCGCTGTAATATAGTTGTAATCCACTTTCTTATACCATGAATAACTAAAGAAACTGATTACAGAGTCTAGTCTAGACATCTGAGCTTATTCTACCTAGTAATCTGTATAAATCTGTATAACTTAGTGTTAAAATGATCTACAATAAAGTCTAGGGTCGCCAATAGCACTAACTTTAATTTTGTCTATTATAATCTTAAGTGGAATCACTTAAGGTCCAAATTAGTCTGGTTATTAAGCCGTGAAATTACTTTTTTTATGTTGTTAAATAACGTTTCGTTTCGCTTCGTACCTATGGCTAATGGGTTAAGCAGGTGGGGTTGTATAATTTGAAGAATCTAAAACTTTTTGGTCGAAATTATACCTACGTTGTATAATTTAGGTGTTTATGAAACACATAACAATGCATTCATATCCAACCACGCAGGCATTACACAGTAAGAGTCACTTACATATATTGTTGAAAGCAACCAAATTCTCGATAAAAACTAAAATATCTAATAACTTTCAATGAGGTTAATAACAAAACAATGAGTTATTTAAAATAAATATGTTAAACAACAACTTGCTAACTAAATGAAACAATACTTGCTTTTAATTTTACAGCAGTTTAAACATAATAAAAGACAATTAGTCATGTTTACCACCCCTAAACAAACCTACTTACTGATCGATCGTAACAATAACCATAAACATCGATAGTCTAACGGATTTTATCGACAAATTACACCTCACTAGTGACTAGAGCTGCCTCCAACTATACTTTATTAATCGATATTTTACTAGTCGACATGGATGGTTAGTCGCGGCTTTGAAGTTGAGAATAAATTGGGTTAACTTTGAAAAAAGACTATTAAAAGTATCCTACTTAAATTGCACCTTGTTATATTTAAAAAAGGGTGATATTACATTGTAGGAATGTAATTCATGTCAGCTACAGTAGGTACTTAAAACGGCTTTTACAGGCCTATATCGTCACATTCAAAATATTCCGGGATCTTCTCTCCATAAGAGTCACAAAAGTTTAATTTTAATATTTGTACAATTTAAACAAAAACCGTATGTATAAGTATCAACTAGCACGCCCTTTCTTTTCCTAAACCATTATTTAGGATGACTTCTCTCTCAGATTACACTGATTATACCTAATCACAAACAGATTTTTATCACCAATACTTAACATACCTCTTATACCCTAGTACCTACATTGTATACTCTCGCCACTTTTCACTTTATCTACAAAGTAATAAATGGCCATTAACCCCAAGAATATATAGAGATTCTACCTCTTCCTGCCAGCTCTCTAGCGTGAAGTCCCAACAGTTCCTTGCTCCAAACACTGTTTCCCTATCACCGGCGAAATCTCCACACTAGTGATACAATTACCACTTTAGATTATGATCTTAGGTCTAACTAATTCACTTCCTTTGTTACACTAGGTTTTCATTTTGTTTAAATGTAATTTAAGTTCATTCATTGTGACTGCCTCGTTGGCCGAGTGGTCGCAAGTGCGACGGGCAAGGGGTCTCGGGTTCGATTTCCGGGTCGGGCAAAGTATTACTGGGTTTTTTATAAATTCTGAGTAGTAGCACAGAGTCTGGAATTGTGCCCGGTATATGGCAATGGGCTCACTCCTATTACATGGGACTCATAACATCAATAGTGAAAAGTGGGTGTTACATTGTACAGTGGCATTAAGTACCGTAATGTGCCTCTGCCTACCCCTTTGGGGATAAAAGGTGTGATGTTATGTATGTATGTATCTTTACATTAAGAAGGTCTAATAACAGTAGGTGCTAAATGTCAAACGCTTGTGATATTAATCACTGACATTCATTAATACCAATTGATCCATGATGCTTTTCCAATCTCACAACTCGAAGACGTAAACCCATAAAATTGAACAATTGTTACATTGTCTTGCGTTGTCTTCTTACAAAAAAATTTATAGTTTAAAGTAAAAGTAATTAAGTGTGGGAGAGCCATGCTTCGGCACGAATGGGCCGGCTCGACTGGAGTGATACCACGGCCTCACAGAAAACCGACGTGAAGCAACGCTTGCGTTGTGTTTCGTCGTGTGAGTGAGGTTACCGGAGGCCCAATTACCCTCCCCTTCCCCAATCTCCCCAATTCCTGAATCCCCAACGATCCTCAACCTCCTAATCCCCAAAAGGCCAGTAACGCACTTGTAACGCCTCTGGTGTTCCAGGTGTCCATGGGCGACGGCGATTGCTTACTATCAGGTGATCCGTCTGCTCGTTTGCCGGCTTATGCCATAAAAAAATGTTATATATTACAAAACCATCAGATAATATTGTATAAAGATTATAATGCTAGGCTTCATACAAAATATTTTTTCCTCATCACTATGCGAAAATGCCGCATCGGTCACTGCCTTCATTCTGAGCAAAACAATAATATAATATTGTTAATCTAATTTAAACCTTACGCACAGTAATTTAAGGTTGTGCTAAAATAAGTGTGAATGTGTCATGCACTTGGTCAGCCAAGGTCGGGATTGAGGTAGTGACGTCACTATACGTGGTCTGATTGTCAATTTTTTGAATAAAGTTGACTAGGAAACATATAGTGGCAAGATTTATAAATATTATTAATAAGGAAACTGACGAAAACGGTACCAAAAGATAAGATCTATAATAAGCAGATACATCAAACGTCCCGTAAAATATTAATTTGTTGAAATGAGGACTGACATTTTGTATTGAAACCATTTTAAAAAATTAGGTGTGCCTGATCTTTCAGAACCATCCTTATTTGGCGTGCTTATAATAAATCAACGAATGCAAATGAAACAAAGGAAGTATTCAAGAATTGAGTCATTTGCGATTCCATTGTCTCTGCCTACACCAGTAGAACTCAAGCGCAACAATTTACGCATGTATTTATTATGCAAAGTCTTCCTATCATAAGCATAATAAGTTTTGGTGTGGAAACATGGAAGAAAAAGACGATCAAAAGTGCGAAATATAATAATGATAACAGGGCCGTCTTAGACTACGCTAAGGCCTTTGGGCACACAATAACTCTGGACCCTAGTGGAATGTTTCTTTTCTTTTAATGTCACCCCACACTAGGATTTCCTCCTATACCGTGGGTGCATTTACAAACATACCAGTTCACATACACATCACAAACAGACCCGAAGCAAAAATTTTGTGGATCACACAAAGATTTGCTCCGTGCGGTAGTGCGGGGCAGCCGGTTGCTATGGAATGTGTACCGGGTGTGTCCGTCGTAGAAATTATCGGTCCTTCGGGCCCCTTGATGATAGGGGTCTTGGAGACGGGCCCCGAGAGTCCTTATGATAAAGACGATACTAAATGATAGAGATTGGTTTGTATTGGGAAAATAGCTGCTGGGAAAGAGGGGAAGACGGTGGCACAGTGGTCACGTGCCGCCGTACACAGCAAGGCTTAAAGGAGACACCCGTCTCCCTAGGGATGTGTCGTAACAGGCGTTGCACCGTGGAGGCTCCGAGCAGGTCTCTTTAAGAGGACCCGGTGCCTCCATTCAGGTGTTGAGGGTGGTTTTAGTGAGATAAAAATCCCACACTCCTTAGTCTTTTATCCCCAAAGAGGCTTTTTTTTTATTATTTTTTTTAAGGGTGGAAAATCATCGAATGACTGCTCCCGCCTGGGTGAGGCGGGAGGGAGTGTCAGACTCTTACTGACTAAAAACCACCCCGTTCCTTCTCCTGCACGTCGAGCCGGAGCCCCGGTTACCCGTTAGGTTCTCCGCGACTTCCCCAAAGAGGCTTGGCGCCATTTGAAGGTTTCCCCCCGTCATAAAAAAAAGGTATTCGAAAGAGAGGACAACTGTACCAACTTGGCTAAGAACAAGAAAAGAAGACTGATTCAAGTCCTTTAGTTTAGATGACGTTACTTGCATTGTCCAACTATGATTGTTTTGATAAGTGCGGTCCTGATACTGACTATCGTCAGAATGTACAGATAGTATCTGTCCTATCGAATAATACTTTAATTAATTAGTATTCTAGGCATCCAAATCGTTCGTCGATAAAACCCTAGATGGCGTTGCTCATATGTATGTTTTCAGGATAACCATTGCACAAGAGATTCCAATGGAAAATTTAAATTAAATGACAAAACTGTAAAATATCGTCCAAAAAGTTCTGACTCGTGGAGGATTTGAACCTCCGCCCTCCGATGGTCAAGATTTGAATTATATCGGCGCTCTAACCTACTGAGCTAACGAGTCTTACTTCATACAGCCGAAATTGGCGACCAGTACATTGAAAATGACGTCACTATTACTCATACACCTAAATCGATGTTTTGGCTTCTTACCAAAATCGTTGGAATGTTGCTTAGACATTGAAAAACTGCAACAACCACATACATCACTTAATGTAACATCACGCCTTTTATTGCTCAAGTGGGTTGGTTGGTGCAGAAATTGGAATAATGACATGATAGTTACATTTAACTTCAACTTCTCAACTTATTTTATTTCCTTGTAATTGAGGATTAACGTATTGCCATACAGAGGGTTTCTATAAAAATCC